CTTTGCAGTTTGTTTTGGCGTCCTCCACGCGGCATATTAAAAGCTTCTCGTGTCCCTTTCAGCTGGGATGACAGCAGCTCGGTGAGCAGCGGCATCAGCGATACCATCGACAACCTCAGCACCGATGACATCAACACCAGCTCGTCCATCAGCTCCTACGCCAACACGCCGGCATCCTCAAGGAAGAACCTGGACGTGCAGGTACGGCCCCCCGACCACCTACCCATCTGTTCAGTGATAGCGATCTCACAGACTGCTGCTGCCCTGGAATCCCAAACATACGGGAGAACAATAGCACGCCAGCAGCCATGCGGTGCAGCTGTTATAAAGAGAACCTGTCACTAGACCATTCGTCCTTTAAGATTATATGGCATGGAATGTATTGTATTCACCTTGTTTGGCTGTAAAAGCCTCCCTTGTGTAGACAGTCAGGGGCCCCCGAGACTGCTGCTGGGCACCGCTATCTTGGATGTCATGAGGCATCAGACGCGGAGCTGTATTCACCTTTGTGCCTCCCCCAATAGCTACGTGAAAGGTTATATAGGGAGGTGAGGTAAAGGGTGGAGGAGCTTGGCCAGCACAGAAGAGGGGAGGACTATGGTGCCCTGTACAATCAATCCTACATATCAGAGCCCTTTACGAGTCCACATACCAGAGCCCGGTTAGATCCTGCATACATGGTCCATATACAGCCCTACATACATGAGCCCTTTACAATCCTACATACAGGAGCCCTGACCGATCCTACATACAGTAGCCCTGACCGATCCTACATACAGGAGCCCTGACCGATCCTACATACATGAGCCCTTTACAATCCTACATACAGGAGCCCTGACCGATCCTACATACATGAGCCCTTTACAATCCTACATACAGGAGCCCTGCCCTATCCTACATACAGGAGCCCTGCCCTATCCTACATACAGGAGCCCTGACCGATCCTACATACAGTAGCCCTGACCGATCCTACATACAGGAGCCCTGACCGATCCTACATACAG